TTAAATAAACTTTCCTGCCACCTCACTGGTTGGTTATTACTATGCCTCAAGAGGTAACTGAATGAGTGTTATTTTAAGCCAAAATATGTCCATCCAACTGCCACTTTCAGGCACTTACAAATGGATTGGCATGAAGGTGCCCCAAGGTTTCCTGTTTTTACATAAACCAGGCTTTATTTTTCTATGTTGAGCTGTTGAGCCAGGAGCTAAAGCGAGGCGTTTGAAGTAATTGTCCGAGTCTTGTCTTTTTTTTTTCCTGCCTTGTCCCTTTTGCTGTTTTCTAGCCCAGTGCCTCTCAAGCTAAGCATCCATTGGCAGGTGTTGACTCGAATTCTGCCACGTTGAGTAAATGTGTGAAGACATTTCAGTCAAAACATCCTTACCAAGGAAGGTCCCATTCTGTCCTTGGAAGGGCTGTTCTGATTTCACTGGAAATGTTCCAAGGTCAGAATGATTTGTTCTGACTCATCAGAAGTGTTCTGTTTTTGAGAGGGATTTTTCTCCTGGGAAGACCAAGGTCACTATCTCATTTAGACCCAGAAGATTTTCAAGCATATTCAAGATGTGATCTTTGGGGATTGAGATAGATCTTTTGCACACCCCTGATTTTAAACCTGTGCAGACAGTGCAGTGTGAAGGAATGACGTGTTACGAATTTAGGTGGGAAGGTTACAAAGAGACAAGTTGCAGATTCCTTAAAAGAAGCACCAGTTATTCAGAATGAACTACATGTACACGTAGTCCTCGACTTAACAACAGTTCATTTAGTGACTGTTCAAAGTTACAACCACACTGAAAAAGGTGACTTATGGCCATACGACCTTTGCAGCATCCCCATAATCACGTGATCAAAATTCAGATGCTTGGCAACTGGTTCATAATTACGACCGTTGCTGTGTCTCAAGATCGTGGGATCCCCTTTTGCAACTTTCTCACAAGCAAAGTCAGTGGGAAAGCCAGATTCACTTACCAACTGCAGTGATTCACTTAACAACTGTGGCAAGAAAGGTCGTGAAATGGGGCAAAGCTCATTTAACAAATATCTCACTTAACAACAGAAATTTTGGGCTCAATTGCGGTCATAAGTCAAGGACTACCTGTAGTTTTTAAGAGTAGATGTAATGATGGCTCGTCTAAATGGAGAGGGGAAATCAAATGATTGCTCTAGCTGTTTGAGATACACAAAGAGATCTCTGAAGAAATGTCCAAATTGTCTCTCTGCAGCCTCATCGACACGAAGTGACCATCTGTAACTATGAAGCAGCAGCAAACCCGGCCGATCACAAACTTGATCAGATCACACCACAGACACACTTCATTTCCTAACTGGGAAGGCTTGTGCATCAACAGAACGCTTGGGTAGACTTGGGAAGATGTTGAACAGTTGAAGCTAAAAAGGAAGGTGTGGCTATTACTGTTTTTGGGTGAGATGTACGCCTGTGGTTTTGGAAGGATAGAGTATCAAACGCTTGACAAGATATGTACAAAATTACACTATTGTTAAGATCAATTGTAAAAGTTGATCTTAAAACTATTAACTCTTCCTGGCCTTTACCATGATTGTCTTGGCAATATCTTCTTGGCCCACAATGTTTCTAAAATAAGTGATTTTTTGTTTAGTTGCTGCTACTTTTCTTGCTGGCTACGTAAGGGATGAGGCTATTGGGTGGTGGCACAATAACCTCTAGGACTTTTTTCTGGTTTTTGACTATAGTTTTGGTATACGAAAATGAAATGTTTCTGGTGTATATAATTTCCAGTGTATATAATTTCTCCAGCATAAATAGCGACTGGGCTGTGCACCAAAGTGCTTCAGAGATTGCCATAAGCATAATTCAATAGCTGTCTTGCTGATGCATAACAATGCCAGTTGTGAGTTTAAAACCTAGAAAATATAAAGATTTATGAATTTATCTTGTCTAAAATGCAACTTTTTGTAAATAAATATGGCAAAGTATCTATCCCTTGACTACAACTTTTTTTTTAAAAAAAATTCTGAACTGAAACCTGTCTTAATGATAAGATACATCACTGGTACAAAATAAGTGCAATAAAGTAAAAAAATGGTATAAAAATAAAATTACTGTGGAATGCTCTCAAGATTAGGAACATTTTGATCTGTAGTCTCTAATTTTGTTCGTTAAAAAAAAAATCAGATTTGTAGCCTATCAGGAGCTGTCCTTTTAAGACCAACCCCTAAACTATTAGGTAAATCTATTCAAGTGGGTTGGCCTGCATATTGCTTAACCATAATGTGATTTGTTTGGCTTCTGCCTATTATGTTGTATGGATCTAGTTCAAAGTTTCTCAACAAACTAGTTGACAATTGTGCCCACTCAGTTATTAGTATTCCTATCTGTTCTTGCCTTATCTCTTATGTTAGAGTGATAACACTTTATGATATCTAGAGGTGATTTCCAAAGTTTCCAAAATATTAGCTATCTCACTTTGTATTTTTAAAATAAATACTTGCTGCAACCTTCTTAGATTAACGTAGGAAGTGGTTTCTACACATATACTTGTTTTTATTTTGAACAAAGATGAAAAGGCTCCCATGAAATTTAGCCAAGAGAGGTGGGGGTTTCCTGGTACCCTTTTCTTTGCACCGTGCATATAACGCAGGGCTTTTCAAAACCTTGGCAACTTTTAAGGCTTTTAAGTCCACCCATCTTAAAGTTGCCAAAGTTGAAAGAAAAAAAAAAAACACCGACAGTGGAGTAGAGCTTCAGAACCAAAGGCTGAATCCTAACCTGCCAGCTCCATCGGCTATTAAATACCACCAGGGATTGCAAAACAGGACATCCTGTTCTCCCCGCAGCGCATCAGCCATGTGGATGTTGTGATTAAGTGACAAACACAGCCGCCGGCGTTTCCAGTTGGGTCTCAACAATAACAACCAGCCACGCCAACCTTGCTGTTTACCACCCAGTGATGAATGTTCATTTAAAACCAGCTTATTACCCCCACGATCCATTACCAACCCGGGGTGGGGTGGGGTGGGGAACCCCAAAGTCCATCTTTCGCGATGGCAGTGGGCCACAGTTCTGAAGAAAGAATAAAGGCAGCCCAAGACGGAAGAAATCCCGGGGTAGGCAGGTGCACGGGGTTGGGGGGACGAGCACGGCCGCGGAAAGGCGCCGCAAGATGGCCGCGCCCCTAACGGCGGCTCCCTTTTCCCCCTTGTTCCGCTTTCCGTACAAGCCGGGGCAGAGCGTCACAATCGCTTTCCTGCCGGCCGGGCCGAAGCTTAACGCGGCCCCACCCACTTGTCTAGCGCGGGCTGGTGGTGGCGGAAGTTGGGAGGGGAGGGAGGGAGGAGAGAAAGAGGGAGCGCGCGAGAGCTCGAGCCTGACTGAGTCCTCCTCAGTCAGAAGCCGGGTCGGAAGAGTCGGAGCCGAGAAGAAAGAGGCGAGGGCGGCGGGAAGGTCAGTCGGGTGGCGGAGGGGGACGGACGGACGGAGGGAGGGAGGCTCGGGGGTGGCGACGCGCCTCTTTTTCGGTCTGAAACTGAGGCGGGAAGGCGTTGTGGGGAAGGGGGCGGGGCGGGCAGGCTGCCCCCCAGGGCCGCGTGTGGCGGGAGGGGGGGTGGGGGAGGGGCGGAGTGGCCGGCCTGAGGGGAGAGAGGCGTCCCTGGATCCGGCGAAGGGCCCCGAGGAGGCCTGGCGCNTCTGTCAAGTCTCCATTTATAATTATCTGAGCAGTCTGTTTTTGATATATCGCCTTTATAGCTGTTTTAAATTGGTCTCCAAAGTTCATATAGTCCAACACTTTATGTAAAAACTGCCATTCCAATTTGTCAAAGGCCTTCTCTGCATCAAGAAAAATAAAGGCCGAAGGTATTTGATTGTTCTTGTCCAAATATTCCAGTAAATTTACAATTTGCCTAATATTATTCTTCATGTACCTCCCAGGTTGGCCTGCATATTGCTTAACCATAATGTGATTTGTTTGGCTTCTGCCTATTATGTTGTATGGATCTAGTTCAAAATTTCTCAACAAACTAGTTGACAATTGGGCCCACTCAGTTATTAGTATTTCTATCTGTTCTTGCCTTATCTCTCATGATAAAGTGGTAACACTTTATGATGTCCTAGAGGTGATTTCCAAAGTTTGCAAAATATTAGCTATCTCACTTTGTATTTTTAAAATAAATACTTGCTGCAACCTTCTTAGATTAATCTAAGAAGTGGTTTCTACACATATATACTTGTTTTTATTTTGAACAAAGATGAAAAGGCTCCCATGAAATTTAGCCAAGAGAGGTGGGGGTTTCCTGGTACCCTTTTCTTTGCATCGTGCATATAGCGCAGGGCTTTTCAAAACCTTGGCAACTTTTAAGGCTTTTAAGTCCACCCATCTTAAAGTTGCCAAAGTTGAAAAAAAACAACCTACCGACAGTGGAGTAGAGCTTCAGAACCAAAGGCTGAATCCTAACCTGCCAACTCCATCGGCTATTAAATACCACCAGGGATTGCAAAACAGGACATCCTGTTCTCCCCGCAGCGCATCAGCCATGTGGATGTTGTGATTAAGTGACAAACACAGCCGCCGGCGTTTCCAGTTGGGTCTCAACAATAACAACCAGCCACGCCAACCTTGCTGTTTACCACCCAGTGATGAATGCTCATTTAAAACCAGCTTATTACCTCCACGATCCATTACCAACCCGGGGTGGGGTGGGGAACCCCAAAGTCCATCTTTCGCGATGGCAGTGGGCCACAGTTCTGAAGAAAGAATAAAGGCAGCCCAAGACGGAAGAAATCCTGGGGCAGGCAGGTGCACGGGAGTGGGGGGGGCGAGCACGGCCGCGGAAAGGCGCCGCAAGATGGCCGCGCCCCTAGCGGCGGCTCCCTTTCCCCCTTGTTCCGCTTTCCGTACAAGCCGGGGCAGAGCGTCACAATCGCTTTCCTGCCGGCCGGGCCGAAGCTTAACGCGGCCCCGCCCACTTGTCTAGCGCGGGCTGGTGGTGGCGGAAGTTGGGAGGGGAGGGAGGGAGGAGAGAAAGAGGGAGCGCGCGAGAGCTCGAGCCTGACTGAGTCCTCCTCAGTCAGAAGCCGGGTCGGAAGAGTCGGAGCCGAGAAGAAAGAGGCGAGGGCGGCGGGAAGGTCAGTCGGGAGGCGGAGGGGGACGGACGGACGGAGGGAGGGAGGGAGGTTCGGGGGTGGCGACGCGCCTCTTTTTCGGTCTGAAACTGAGGCGGGAAGGCGGTGTGGGGAAGGGGGCGGGGCGGGCAGGCTGCCCCCCAGGGCCGCGTGTGGCGGGAGGGGCGGGTGGGGGAGGGGCGGAGTGGCCGGCCTGAGGGGAGAGAGGCGTCCCTGGATCCGGCGAAGGGCCCCGAGGAGGCCTGGCGCGGAAATACGGAGAGCAGCCCCGGGGGTGGGAGGAGATGGGGGTGGGGATGGGCTGGGTTGATGCCTTTATTAGGACCGACCGAAGCTGGACAGGTAAAGGTGTGCAGCAAGCTTTCGAGCTCCCCGATTCTCTGTAGGCAGGTGAGGCGCGGGAGAAGCCGAGGGAGGGGAAGGAGAGTGGCTGGAGGTTGGGGGGGGGAAACTGAGGAAGAGGGAGGAGGAGGAGGAGGAGGAGGAGGAGGAGGGCGAGCGAGCCCTTTTCTTCTTTGGGATAGCCCAGGGGTAGGCAACCTTGGCTCTTTTATGACTCGTGTACTTCAACTCCCAGAATTCCTGAGCCAGCATGAGGGAAACTTTGGCCCCTTCATGACTCGTGGACTTCAACTCCCAGAATTCCTGAGCCAGCAGAGCTGGCTCAGGAATTCTGGGAGTTGAAGTCCACGAGTCATACAAGAGCCAAGGTTGCCTACCCCTGGGATAGCCTGAGTAGGGACCAGGTTGCCTTCACACCACAGCCCGGCCGGGTCGCCTCTAAACCAACGGCGGCTGCCCTGGCGCCGCGTGCTCCTTCGGGTCGGCTTTAAGGGGGGGGGGTGGTCGTCGTCGGCGCCTGGGCCAAGCCGAGAAGGGGGGGGGTCTCGTTCCGCAACGAGGAGAAAGCCCGTGGAGGAGCGAAGTCTCAGCGAGAGGGCAAAAGGCGGCGGATATTGGAGAGAGGCAGACGGTCCACATCAAGTCGGGCTCTTACACCCCTGAGAGTTGGGTAGGAGAGGATCTCTGGAATTTGCAAAGGGCTTTTTTCTCTCTCCAAACTTTCCCTTGCCCAGTTAAACTTCGTTTCCGAAATGGAACAAAAGCAGGCAGCTGGCTTCCTTCTTGCCTCTGCTCATTCTAAGAGGATGGGGAGGTGAAAAGAGTCGGGGTTGGAAAGGAACAAGACATTGTTGGTTTTCAGTGGAAAGTCATTGGTTTTCTGAGTTCGCAACTGAGCATGATTGGCACACACAGCACTGAGTGGTTAGTGTGTGTCTTGTCTTTGGATAAAAGCGATTGTGATGCCTAATGGGCAGTGCAGGCTGTTATATCTGACACTAAAGAAGAGAAGACCGATTTAATCCCAGAAGCGTTTTTTCAAATTATGGGCTTGTAGGAAGGGCTTTTAAGAAAACCCTAGAGCAGGCTTCCAGAAGATGCATGTATGTCTCATATAAGTTGTTGTGACTTTGTAAACAAACAGAAATCAGGTTTACAGTAGTGTACCTTTACCATCACAAAAAGTAGGCAAATATTTGACATCTCCGGATCTCGTGAGATATAAAAATAAAAGTTAATCATTTTGGGTAAACATGCAACTAGTCGATGTAATGAGATGAATAAAATTATCTTATGTTTACCTTTTTCTTAAGAAAACCAGCTTATATTTAACAAACACATAGAACCTTGTATGCCCAACCATCCTTACAGCTAACATAATAAAGGAATATGTGTGTTTGTATGTATGGGTAGGGTAAGCATTTGAATGCTTATTTAAATAATCCAGCTGATGTTCTTATAATAAAGATAGTAGTAGTTTTGGTTGCAAGTTATTTATAAATATAGATATTTAAATCGTTACATGTGTGTCAATTTAAAACTTACTGAATTTCCTGTTTTGGTGCTTTTGTCATGATTATACGTGAGACCAATATTTTTTAGTTGTAATATAGCCTTTAATGAAAATCGTGTTGTTTATAATAGAACTAATGATTTTGCCATAGATAAATGACACCATGTTTTTTTCATAAAGGTTGTATGGAAATATCCTTGCGATGTTGGGACCAAGATCTCTTTAGATTGGCACTATATCTTGCATAGTAGTCAAATGCCCCTAAAGCATATATACAGGATGTGTACGCTTTTGTCTGTTGCTATCATCTGATATTTGATTACAGATGTTCCCCATCTTCTATAACACAATCTAATTTGAACTCAATTTTACAAAAATGTTTCAATAAACCAAAAAAAGAAAAATAATGAAAATAATAAGCACATGTGTTTACATATGTAAACTTCTGTTTTAGGGGCAGTTGACTGAATTTCAGCTTCAGCAAAAATTCGGTTACATAAAGCTTTCTGGGTTATATAAATTCATAAATACCTAATCCTGCATCTAAACATGGGACTCTATCCCACTGAGTTTCTGTGGCTGATAATGGTTGTTGGTTTTGTCTTCCATGATTTTGAGTAGTTCTCTTTCAAAAAATATCTAATTTGGACATTAGCCATTCTTGAAGTATTCCCACCTGAGGATAATATCACTTTATTAAGAAATATTTTATATATATTTTATGTTGAACAGGCAAAAAATTGGAGCTATATGGTAACGTGTGGGGAAAGTTTAAGAGAGGAAGAATTTGTTCCTCTTTCCATTTCCCAAATAACAAGACTGAGGAACCAAACCATTTATGGTATCAGTGGATTTGCGGTATCAGTTTATTGTATATGAAACAACTTAAAATTTGTTGACTTCTGTATTATAATGATTTTTTTACTTATTAAAAGGGCCAGAGGAAGAGAAGTCCATTTTAAAATTATTTATCTTTGCTTATAGTTAAAAAATCAGCACCAGCTTATTTTCAAAAGGGGTTTTATCTCACCATAATTTCAAGGAAATCTTCTCTGATGTCACCTTTGGATGAATAAAAATGATTATATATTTGCAGCCTAAAAATTACAATAGCTTGTTAGGGAGTAAATATCAGTAATATAGTACCTCTATTAAGGCCATGAAAAATATCATAAACTAATGAGCTGGCTTTCAGTTTCTTTGGAAGCATGCTCACTCGTTGCTTTATAATAATTAGATCTAAGATCTAATGAAGAAGCTAATTGTTGTTTTAGAATTCCTTGGATTAAGAGTTCATTGGGGCCTTGTAGCAAACTCATCTCTGAGAACTGTCATTTCTATTATTAATATTGCATAGCTTCCTTTTGTGTTAACAGGCCAAGTAATTGAAATTCTGTTCACAATTTTGAACTGCTTCACTCTTGCAAAGTTGTGCAGAGAACTATATTTCTTTTTTAGCTCATTTAATTCTCATTCTGATAAAGGAAGGTAGTATTTAAGAACCGTGCAGTGTTCATGCCAGGTTCCTTTTCCAAGTTTTTTTTTTTTTAACTACTGTATGGCTTACTAAATTGCCCCAGAATCTCACAATCTGATTGTGAGGGATTTCCTTTACTGCCTTTGAACATGAATTTATCTGATCTCTTTAAAAAGCCAAGCCAATTAGTGACTGATGCTTCAGTCTGTGGTAACAAATTTCAGAAGCTTAATTAAAAATGTTTTGTCAAGTTCTCTTTCTACTATGTGCTGAACTTACTGCCGATAAACCTTCTTGTGTTCCCAAAGAGATGTCTACATTCCCCACTCTGTTCAATATTTTATAAGCATTTCTCACATCTTTTCCTGTTCTTTTAGCAAATGGACTTAACCTTTTTTTTTTGACTTATCTTTTTTGCTGACTTAAATATAAGTCTGTATCCAGCCTTTCCACCAATGATTTCGATCAGGAATTAATTGATTTGAATTTACAGTCAATGACTAGAAAGAAAAGAGAGGGATAGTAATTCAATCTGGTGCCTAGAGCTTGCAGCAAAGTTCTTATAACTTTGATTCTTGATATATAGGTGTCCTGGAACCTGGAGTTTTTTTCTGACTTGTCAAAAGGATAATTATTAAACTTGTTTTTGTTAAACAGTGGCATGAAATAGAAGTGAGAAAAACATGGTTCCTTCTCTATGAGATTGTGGACATACCTGCATTGTACCCCAGTCTTCTCAGCACCTTGTCATCTACTATTTGACATTCTAGGATAGTTACCCAGCATAAAATCAGGCATAATTAAATTCATCGTTTCGCAGCAGAATTAAGTGCACTTAACATGTAAGGTTTTTTGCTTGATTGAGTTCATCATAACTTCTTTTTTAATTTGCAAATAGGCTTCAGAATACTATGGTTGGTCACACAGTGAGATGTTTGATTAAGCATTTTTAGCTACCTATCACATCTGGATTAAGCATTTTTAGCTACCTATCAAATTAAGCATTTGGATTAAGGATTTTTAGCTACCTATCAAATCCTTCCCAAGGGCCTGGGATAGGCAGATATTACTGTTTAATAATATTAAAGGTATCTTTGCAGGGTGTAAGCTATTCTAAATAAAGCTGCCCTTTTCAATTGCTTGATGGTGGTTTTGTCAATGCTGATGGTTTTCTAGTGGTGCTCCAGATGTTTTGGAATTGTACCCAAGAGGTGTATTATTATTGGTATTACCTTTGCTTTCTTTTGCCACAAATAGTTTTGCTTCTGTTTGCAGGTCTTTATATTTTATGATTTTCTCCAGTTCTTTCTCTTCTCTTCTGCTATCTCCAGATATAATGTTTACTATCCCAACTTTTTTGTCTTGATCTCAACAGTTCTTGCTTGGGGACAAGAAGTATTTCCTGTTACATTGTCATTCTGTTGTTTGTAATTGGTGTGTTGGATCTTCTTGCATCAGCTGACTGAGTGGTCTACTGTTTCTTCAGTTTCTTTGCAGACATGACATTTGCTGGCTATCTTCTCAATTCTGGCTTTATGCATTTGCTTTTAAGCTTGGTCTTGTGCAGCCAGAATTAGTCTCTCTCGTCTCTTTCTTCAACTTTCCTGCTTTCAGCCATCGCCAGGTCTTGCTGTTATCTGGTTTGCCTGCTCTTTTTTAATGTACTGGTCA